CTGATATCGTATTCTTTGGCTTGCTTATGTATTGTGTACTGGATTAGGGTAATAAATATGGACTAAATCTTTCCATATCAATGCATATGAATTTGATTTAATCTCCATTTTAAACCTTTCCAAATTTGATTCAATTCAATCCTTTTCCACATGATTTGGTTTGATTCGAATTTGATGGTGATGCTAGCTGTAAACAAAGCCTAAAACAATCAAAAAAATCAAGAGTTATTAATTATTTGGATTTTCTATGATTTTATTTGATTTAAAATGAATAAATTCAATAAAAAATCAAATTAAATAATAAAAATGAAATATGGGCTCATGGATGAAGCTAGGACACGTGGGAAACTATGCAAGCTCAAATCAAGTGGAAAAGAATGGGCCCATTTGACAAAATTTGAAGTTTTGGGGATAGTTGACTTTTGGCAATTTTGCAAAAATGTCCAACTTCAACAATGCGTAACTTCTTCAATTTTGAGCTTTTGGAGGTTTTCTTAGACTTTTTAGAAAGCTTGAGATGTCCTCTAATTAACCCTTTTGGTCTCATCTCATTTTGATATTCCATGCTCAAGTTATAAGCTTTGGAAAAAAAAGTGTTTTTGTTGACTTTCAAAAATGACCTATAATGTCCAAATTCATAACTTCTTGTGAGTGCATTTTTTGATCTTGGGGTATGAAGATGGATTGTATGAAATTGAATCCCCTTCAAAATGAGCTTTAGATGGGTCATTTCTCATAAATTATGAGAAAGTTATGCTTGGCAAAGTTGAGTTGACTTTTCCTGCAAAACCCTAATTTAGCAACTTTTGAATCTTGATGAATCTTGAGCAATCCTTGATAAATCATGATCAACCCTTGATCAAATGATGAAATATACTTCAAAATGAGAATGTTGACAAAAAATCTTGAAGTTTGACTGTTTGTAGGCCACAGTTGACTTTTCCCCTAGCATAGTCGATTTTTTGACCCTTTGAGCAATTGACTGGGCAAACTTCCTCTGCAAGGCTTGAAATTTGGAATGGATGATCTTGAGAGCATATTAGGACATTGGGGAGCACTTGAGGTCATTTGGATTCAAGTATCTTGATGCAACACAAAACCCTAATTTGGGGTAGACTGCCTTAGGAGATAGCTTGTCTGTCCAACTCTTGAGTAAACTTGAGTCACTTGGAGATTTTTCTTGCAAATGTCTTGAGGAATATGAGAGGGAAAATTTTGGGGTACAAAACTAGTTTATTGAGTTCTTTATAATTCTCTATCTTCAATCAATCATCGGTTTATTTTTTTGATTGACGACAAATAAGCAGTTCTTTCTTCTATTCTGTTTTTGTCGACAAACAGGTTCTATTTTTCTTTGTTACTACTTGTTTTGTTTATTTTATATTTTTTATTCTCTTTTATATATATATATATATATATTAGACATATAATTTATTTGATGAAATTGATATCATTTTTGTTGAGAAATTGATGGTAATTGGAACAAATAGTATCTTCGGAGATGCATCTCTGAATTAATCTTGGGTGAATTCAGAGATGTATCTCCGAACTAAACTTTTGCAAAAATGAGATTTAGTGCGTTCAGAGATGTATCTTCAAATTTACCCAATAATATTTTTGAATTTTTAGAGGTACGCCCCATAGTATAAGGCTTCAATGAGAAATTGCCTTATGTAGGATTGAGGGTTAAAGAGAGATAATAAAACAAATAAAGAAAATGAGAGTGGAGTGAAGAGGGATCAGGTGGGGGTATAGATATGTAAAGAATAATAATTTTATCTTTTCAAAATGTTTATGGGTGTTATCGAGGAGGCGGAAATAACATTTTTATTATAATACACTTTAAACACGACCCATAAAGTGTTATGATTCCATATACTCATAAAAGTCACACTGATTTTCATATTTTAAAAATTAGCTCTTCAATTGTCCTATTTTGGTTTTAATAGGACACACCCAAATCAAATGGCATGATTATATATAATATTTTAGGTCGTTCGTAAGTTCCACGACAAAAGGTCCAAGAACAAACTTTATGTAGATGCTTCCATGGAACATGTAGACCTTCAATTTATTCAGAAATAGAAATTTCTACCCTTCAACACCTCAATCATCGCCCAATTCAATCATACGGTTGTATGTATATGTTATATCACTCGCAAACGGTTTTAACCACTCTTGATATATAAGGGCAAAATGCATCATTTCAAGTATTCAAATTCATTCTCACTCTCACATTACTTCTAGTTCTCTCATTGATTTGGGTGTTGGAATTCTAACCTTGCAGCTCATCCCCCTCTCCATCGTACCGAAATTTTGCTCCATCCAAGACCTAATTTCGTCACTGTAGTACACATGTTTGGTTCCTTAGTGGAGCAGTGACGCTGTTCGTGGGAATCGAATTTTGATTCCTACATATTTCCACCAAAAATATTGTTTCTCCACTAAGATCCAAATCAATGACCTTCTTTCTTGAAGCTTCAGTCTCCTCATCTGATGAATTTGGTTGCAATGGTGTTTCCTGCTTCTTCTGCATTACTTTGTAAGTATATATAACCAAAAATATGAGAAGTCGAGTAAAATCCGCGGTTGGCACAAAACAAGTCAACGAGGGAGATGGTAAAGTTGTCAAACCTGGTGCAGTTATGGAAAAGATAATGGATGCATGGAATGAGATGATAAATTCTTCCACTAAAGAATTATATTCTGAATATGTTCTATATTTTAGGAGTGCGTGTGCGATATATCCAGATTTGCTTAAATATGTTGAGGGCACAATTTTGGATCAGGTTAAAGAGAAGATTATTTGCACATGAACTGACCAGGTTCAGCATTTTGGTAATGTAACAAATAACATAGTTAAATATGTGCATGCTAGACTGGAGAATTATTTGGAAAACAATAAAGGTTATTTTTGTCGAGATTGGAATGTCGTGAACCAAATGTCGTGAAACTAACATAATAAGGTACAAACATCTTTTGGTTGGAGCATTACTGTGTTAGAACGTCGATTCAAAGACAACATCCTTTATTCATAGTTAGTTGTCAATGTATCTCGGGCGATGTTGAATTTTATTTTTTACTAAGTCAAGCGAGCTGATAAAATAAGTTTCGATAGCTTAAAATATGGTTGTGCACTTAGGAAGACTTACGGTCTTCCATGTGCTTGTTTAATTTTAAAGAAGATGAAACATGAAAAACCCATATGTACGGATGAAGTTTGCATTTATTGGACCCGACTCTATTTTGATGATGATGGTGTGAGTAAGGATGATAAATCAAACATATCTGTCATGACTGAATGAAAATGATCCAAGAGAGATTCAGGAAAGTTGATGACATAATGAAATTACACATCAAAGAGCAACCTAGAAAGATTACATATCTAGAAACAACGGATTTGAAACCATCGTCAGAACCGATTAAAATAAAAGGTGTCCCTAAAAAGGTAAAACTAACCAAAGTGAAAACTCCACGAGACGATATCCTTCGTATTTTGAATATGTTGACTCACAATTTTCAGATTTTTCGACTCCAAATCTCTAAAAAGTGTTTTCAAGGGTGCATGCATTAGCAAACCATCTCCTCCACCGTCGTTACCAAAAATCAAATTCATTGAAGAGATGTTGCTTTTTATGCACAAATACATCGAGCGAATTGTAAATGTTGGAAGTGACGACAATTGTGGCTTTCAAGTTGTTTCAGGTTTACTCAGTAAGGGAGAGGACGACCACCAATTTGTTCGCCGTCATCTCATACAAGATATGAAGACGCCTAGGAAATCATACAGAAAGCTATAGGAAACAAAGCAAATTACAATACAATTCTCAATACTCTTGTTCCTTGTCTTAGTGGTCCAGCTCTGTTTGACAAATGAACATATTTTCTAGAAATGAGACATCTTATAGCAAGTGCTTATGATAAAAATGAATACGCTTTCTAAAAATGAGACATCTTAATCATGTATGTAAGGTCCTTATTACTCTATAACTTCTATAAATAAGGTCTCTCAATACATTTTCTTTACACAAACCGGAATGTCTACATATCTCCATCTTACTTTTGTGTATTTCAATGACAAAACTTCCCCACTTAAATTTCAAATCTGCAAGGACATACTTCTCGTCGATTTGAAAATCAAACTAAATACTCTCCTGCAATATCCAAAAAAGCAGAGAGTTGTCAAGCTCGAGTGTCTTTCACTCTCAATAGTTAGAATGCTTGAGTGAAGACAAATGATGATTTGAAGGTGATGTGGAGTACCTTTTACTGTTACTCAACAAAGGATCTGATTAAAATAGATGCGACGATTTAAAGATCAGCCGACGATATTATAAGAATATTACAACATCCTGAACCACCTATTTTTAATAACATGTAATGTTAAATTTATGTAATATTTACCATAATAATTTTATTTTGGAGTTAGTTTAAGTTGGTTCAATTCCGTTTTGCCATTGTTGTTTCAGTCTGTTTCTGCTTTGATCTAACAAAGCATATTCTGGAGATGTATCTCTGAAAAATTCACTAACTAATGAATTAAGAGACATTTCAGAGATGTATTTCCGGATCAACCTTTCGTACATACAAAGATTCATCTCGAATCAATTTTTAACAGAATAAGAATTTCTCACCATTTTTACTTTAGGTTTGTGTGAAAAATATACATTCAGAGATATATCTTCAAATACTAGAGACATTTTAGTCTATTCACAATTCTGTGAGAGAACCTCTAAAGATGAACAGAGCAATTCACTTGTTACATTTGGGTAGAAAGAAATAGAACTTATCACATTAGCCCATAAGTACCAAACTAAAAAAAGAACAACAAATTATTAAAATTGATTGGTACATTTTTTTTTGTAAAATGAAAGTAAGGGTGTGAGTAGTAATTATAGTTTCATTGCATCTTAAAATTAAGCTTCAGCCCAAAACACTTTTTCATTTCTTCTTCTCCACTCTGAACCCACACTCCTCTGCACAAGGAAAACTCAACAACAATGTCACGAAACTCCCTAAGATTCGTCAAACTGATTCGCTCTCTCTCCACCGAACCATCTCGCCCCCAAAAAATCAACCGCATAGCAGACGAGCTTTTCAGCCTCAACAGATTCGAACGGCACGACTTCACCGTCCTATGGCGACTCAAAATGGGCCTAGACCGTTACGGTAGTGCTCCAGTCGCCGGCGGCCTTGGTCCATTGGGCTCAGCCGCGTCCGGCCCCGCCGCTGCAGATGCAACCGCCGCTCCTGCGGAGAAGACGGCTTTCGATATTAAGCTTGAGAAGTATGATGCTGCGGCGAAGATTAAGATAATTAAGGAGGTTAGGTCTTTTACTGATTTGGGGTTGAAGGAAGCTAAGGAATTGGTTGAGAAGTTTCCGTGTGTTCTGAAGAAGGGGGTTACTAAGGATGAGGCGAATCCTATTATTGAGAAGCTTAAGGAATTGGGTGCCACTGTTGTACTTGAATGATTTTAAGCTTCAATCTTTGTTTTTGTTTAGTTGTAGAATCACTTGTTCTTTGGGATTGTTGTTTTATGAGAAAATGGCTGATTTTTATTTCATGGAATTTTGTGTCTGTTAGGTGTTTGATGAAATGTGCAATAGTTGTGCAATTTATTTTTTATCATATATTCTAATAGAATGTGTTTTGGATTGGAGAATAGGAATTGATGTTAATAATAAATGATATGTTGTAAAAGTGATTTTGAAGTGAAGTGGCATATGTTTGGAATTTAACCACTTGAATGCAAAAGCTAGGTAGAGTAGCTTTTGCCATGGTCGTGATTAAACGCATGAATGTGAAAGCTAAGTAGAGTTCCACACAACATTTAAAATGTAGTTGGATTGATAGGTATAAATATTAGTCCTTTTCTTAGCTTCCTTTATAGTTTATATGGTTTCCAAACTTTGCATTGTGTGTTCCTTTAAGTGGTGTTTCCCAGGCTGGTTTGAGTTCGGTTGGTGTGGCTATCAGGGTTATATTAGAATTAAGACAGGTTTCATTATAACTCCTATCTCCATCCGTCCAAATTCAGGAGGCTATATTTGCAGGTAAGTTCTCTACTTTCTTCTTTTTCTGGTTTTGTTTTTCACCTAACAGTCTTGACTAGTTTAGTTCTTCTGTTAGTTCTGTCATTTTTATAACTAGTAATCAATTAAAATGTAGAAACTATAGATATAAAGAGGGCTTTATATGACAAAAACTTCAAAAACTCAGTAGAGGGCCTTTGATGAGAGGAAAAAGAAAAGTAGTGAGAAGAAAACATAGCCGGGAAAGAGGAAGATAAACAGTTTTGGAAAAGTAACACTTGAATCTAGCTGATGTTTCATCTTTTTGTAAGTTTAGAAAGTAAACATCCCCTCAACAATGTTAACACTTCTCACATGTATAGGAATTTATTTCACTATAACATACTTTTGAGAGACGTTCATATATTAAAGCAATTTTGATGAAATGCCGAGTACAAGAATTAACTATGCTATTTGTCGATAAGCTACATTATTGTGGTTGCAAAAGTAAGCAAGTTTATTGGTTTAAATAACATTATTATTTATTATAGTTGAAAACTATCTTATATTTTTCTCAATTTTAAAGAGATACTAAACTTATTCTAGTGAAATTTTGCTAAGCTTGGTTGAACTTATTCGTTTCCCAACAATTGAAGGAGAAAAGTCTTGTAATTTCCCCATGTCTTCCTATCCACAGAATCTTGAATGCTGACATTGTTTCTCTTTAAAAAGTGGTCTTTAATTTCCTTTAAATCCTTCTCTGCACGAGTGACGATAACACGATTCAAAGCATCATCTTCATTCACCAAATCATTTAAGGCATGACACATCACCTAAATCATATTAACATATACATCATTAATCAAAACTATAGAACAGAGAAATTATAAAGTAGAGAAGGGTTACTACATTATTTTCATGACTTTTGTTACCTTGGCCAAATATCTTTGGGGGTCATTGATGCAACGAACAGTAGTACGCAGTACTCCAACGTATTCATCAACTGTACTAGCTAATAAACCCTACAATTGTAATGTAATTTCTTTGATAAATTTTTACTGAAAATACTGATAGATTGTGATGTGTGTTTATCTCCTTGTATTATGTTTGAAGAAAATAGAATAGAAATTCATCTTACCTTGTTTATTGTTGTGCCAAATAAGTCCTTGAAAATATTGAAAGTCACACTTAGCTGTTTATTACTTCTTGTGCTTAATATTCTAATCATTTCGTCATCGTTGAAAGCTTTCCTTTCAATCAATTGATGAAGTATATTTGCTTCAGAATGTGCCACATTCTCATCAAATTCTTCGCCATCGTACCTATAAGTGCTTATAACTGCAACTAACAACTGCATGAAAGTTCGAAAGTTTAAAATTACAGCTTAGAATACGAGTCATCTAGACTTTATTTAACGCTTACGACGAATAACATACTTTGCGAATATCGCCAGTAGTTTGTGAAGCAACATCTTCTTCCAGGGAATGCTTGTAAAGAGATTGATATAAACGCTTTACAGCCAAAAGCTCTTCAGAATTTTTAGTGCAAGCAATCTCAATAATTACTTTGTAATCTGGTGTTGCCTTCTTTAATGCCTCATTAATCAGTGTGGCTTCTCTTTCAGCTGGATCCATTGTCCAAAGGCAAATGGCTCTCTGATTTCAATGGTATATACACATCTCATAATTAGAATGTTCATTCAAAACATATACTAGTAGATTAGATACAGTATTTAATTGTTAGAGTTTGAAACCTATTTCAATCAAAATTGAATATTAGTGTTATGAATTATAATATCTTTACCTCAAAGTTTCCTGAGAGTTCAGATTTGAGCAGTTCAATAAGATCTTGATGATAGACTTCTTGATAAGCTAGTCTCACAAGTTTCCTTTGAGCTGCATTTCGGTTTGCGAGTATGGATATAAGCGCTGTCTCGTTTGTCCCGAATCCTGCACACAATAAAAATCATGAATGTATTGTAACTTATCTCAAATAATAAAACATTGTCGTGATGTTTGGTCTGCTGAAACACTTAAAATTAGTGTAATTGAAAAATTATATTCATATAGTAAGTGATGAAACATGAATGTGTAAAATTTCATTAGAAACATGAAATCTTTGAGGAAAAAAAATTGAACCTTTGCATGCATTCATAATAGTTTCAGCGTCTTCAATTGGAGAAAAATCTTTTGCATCAATTAGAGAAGCCATTTTGTTTTGTTTCTTAGCTTTTTAGTTCCAAGATTTGGATTTTTTTTTTTTTGGTATAAAAGAGATGTTTTTCATTTTCAATTTATAGAACAGAAAACTTTAAACAACTGTTTTAGCAATTAACATTCCTAATAACTGAATATGTTATTTTATAAACTTCCTTTGTCAATAAATAAAAATAACTGAAATATGTTTGTAAAAGTGGTTTTATAACCTATAAAAAGAATCAATAACGAACTTATGTTATGTATGTTTGGTTTAATCGTCTAACAATCACGTTCCAAAGCACTTCCAACCAAAACAACAGAGTCTGGAAATAATAATTTTAAATTTTGTTGAAATTTAACTGGACAAATAAATATATGCTCGATATTTAACATATTCCGGAAATAATAAGTGAAAAGTAACATCAAATAGAGTCCATCTAATTTATATTTCCTATTTAGATCTAAAGCAAATCAAAGAATTTTTTATCACAATAACCATCATCCCAACTTTATTATCTTAATATTTGTTCCATATATTTCAAGAGAATAATACTCATGTACTAATTTACACTGTCAGTAAATAATATATTTGAATAACTAAGATGCACGATGGTTTAAAATTATTTATACTAATAATATATATAAATTAATCTTATATTCCAAATTACTTGTATTTCAAACAAAAAAAAACTTACAAGTAGGAAATATTAAATAATATTAAAATTTTTATATTTAATAAAGTTTTATTAAAGAATAATATTAACATGTGCCACAAGTTAAACATAGAATTTTTTTTTTTGAAAATGTGCATTGGCTTTATTAAATAATAAAAATTTTCATTACTCTTTTTCTTCAGAATTTTTTATTTTTAAATTTATTATCATTGAAGCACAAGCTAGCATTATCTTTTTTAAAATTTATTATTATTTAATTATTAATATTTTAGGTTTCAATAGTTTAGTTATTATATATTTAACAAATTATTAATTAACAAAAATAAAAATATTAAATATTATATAATTAAAGTTGGATTACACATGCAGAAATACTTTTTTACATTATTGTTCTGGATGCGATTGATCAAAGTGATTTTCGAATAGAAAAGGTTGAAAAGAACATGAAAGACCTTTCGAGATTATTTCTTGAGTTTGAGGGGTAAGTTATGAAAAGGGAAGGTGTTAGCACCCTTTTCATCCGTAGTTATCTACGGGCTCTTAGTTGCTTGCTAGATCACTTGCTTTTTGTTTGAGAATGTGTTTATGGTGTGGGTTTTGAAAGTATTTTGAAAATGTCTTTGTAATGGTTCTCGTTTCTATAAGAACACGTACAAAGTGTTGTTTTAAAAATGTTTCAAAAATGAAAGTGTTAATGTATAAACTATTTTTGTTGTGAGCAAGCGAACAACTAGGAGCAACCTACCTACTCAAAAGGTCTTTAAATATTCTTTTCCTCCTCCTTTAGATGTTGCTACCTTACCATTGATTTGGTAAGAAGCTCCATCATTGAATGTGAAGAAACGGGCGTGAGACGTTTGTATAGTCATAGAAGGCAACCTATAGGACGTTTTAGCAATTTTCGTTTAGGGACTAGATCGTTTACCGAAGGCAACATTGAGGTTCATCGAGGGACTACAATCTTTTATCGAGGGTCTTTGCTAAAACGCCCATGTTCGAGGGACATGACTATTTATTTGAGGCAACAAGTGGAATTACCCTAAGGGTGCATGTGTGAATAGTGTGTTTGATTTGCATGCATTTTGTCTTTTGAATTTTGGTTATCTATTTGTTGTTTTTATCTTGCCATACATCCTAGTTACTAGCATTTATACAAAAGCAATGAAAATGCAAAAAATAAAACCCACACTATTACAGCATATTGATTCGCATGGAAATATAAAGGCAAAAATAAAATAAAAACAAGAAAAAAGGGTCTTTTGATTTGGGCAAAAACACCCTTCGATTCTGCATTTCCTGGCCTCTTTCGATTTAGATTCTGGAGTCAGTGAAGTCCCACTCTTTGATTAGCCTTTCTGTCTCCTTCGACTGGGGGTTGGAATCAGGGTCGTCACACCTTTCGTCTGGGCCTGAAAGTCAGCATAGTTCTGCCTTTCGCTTGAGACTTGGAGATAGCAAAGTTCTGGCTTTCGTTTGAGGCCTGGAGACAGTAAGATTTTGGCCTTCGTTTGAGGCTCGGAGACAGCAAGGTTCTGGCTTTCGTTTAAGGCCTGGAAGAAGCAACACTCTTGCTTTGCCACAGGTTCTT